GTAAACAGGGTGCACTACCAATTTGCAGTCCTTCCCTTCGGCCTATCCTCGGCCCCAAGGGTGTTTACGAAATGTATGGCTGTCGTGGCAGCATACCTTCGTCGGCAAGGGATACAGGGGTTCCCGTACCTAGATGACTGGCGGGGGGGGGGGGGGTTATTATATCCGCCCCGAGGGGGCCCCCCGTCGGGGGGCCCCCCCGGCCGCCCCGCCGGGTTGCTAGGGTAAAAATCTTCCGAGGATTTTGCACGCGACCCGCACAAACCTAATGGAATGGATATGAGCAAGCACTCGAAGAAGAATCAACCTTTCTTAGAAAAATAGCTACGTAATATAAATGCAAAACAAAATTAAACTCAAATATTTAAATCAATCCACGCTGCTTCCTGAGCATAGACACTCACAGAAGTGGAATCTTGGAGTCCAGCTGCCCTAGTCCCCAAACCCAGCATAGACACTCAAAACATCCCAGTAGCTTAAAGACACCCTTTCCCAGAGCTCTGCCCTTTTGCAGACTGGTTTACCATTCACCTCTTCGGGGAGGCATGATAATTGAGTGCATAATACACAGGCTTTGGAAAGGTGTCTAATAAAATTACTCTTTCCTTTAGGTAGCACAAGAGATATACAGATCTAGGTAACAGTAAAACACCTATCCGCCATTTGCTGCTTCATTTTCCTCACCACTCCTAAGCATCCTTTGGGATTTGGTCACCATCCTTTATGGTGTCCAGGATCCCCCCCATATGTTGCGCACATCACTGCACCCAGTTTCCTCCTGCTCTCTCCCAAAATGGTCAGTGAGAGGCCCTTTCTTTTGTAACTGTCAGTCCCTTTTGTCAGGTGACCCTCTGATTACCCTCATTAGGTGATCGAAGTCCCCTACCATGTGAACCATAACCTAGTACAGGCCCAACTGGTCAGAATCAGTTTTCTTGGTTCAGCCACTTTCTTTAGCATATACACTGTATTGCCAGGTAGACCTATTCTGATACCAATGTATCTTCATAGTCACTCACCCAGTCTAGATATGCAAGCACCACTCCCCTGTATGAAGTAAGAAAACAGTACAGATAATCATATGGGCATAAGCATACAGAGTTGCTAATTTCAAACAGAATTCATAAACTGCACAGATTCCCCAAATAGTCACATATAAAAATCATTGTTTTGCTGGTAAACTGAGGAGACTTGACCTGGAGTCACAGACAATAACTATGCCCTGGTCTACACTGAGTGTGTGTGTGTGGGGGAATTGATCTAAGTTATACAACTTCAGCTACGTGAATAATGTAGCTGAAGTCGATGTACTTAGATCGACTTACCGTGGTGTCTTCACTGCGGTGAGTTGACTGCTGCCACTCCCCCGTCGACTCTGCCTGCACCTCTCACGGCGCTGGAGTACAGGAGTCGACGGGAGAGCACTCGGGGGTCGATTTATCATGTCGAGACTAGACGCGATAAATTGATCCCTGCTGGAATGATCGCTGCCCGCCAATCCGGCGGGTAGTATAGACATACCCTAAGTAACTATCATGCCTAGTGGAACTGTACTTTAAACCATAAGAATAGTGACTTCCACCACCCAGTTGGCCGTTAAACATTTTGAAAGGAGATGATCACAATACAAACATCTAAGTATAGTAAAGCACAATTGTACCTTAAGTATTTTACTTATTGCCTCAGTTGGCATTGGATATGATTACACCAAAAAATGGGAATATATAAGTACTTGCTTTTATTTGTGAAGATATTCATTCTGCTCCAGTATTTTAATCATTTGCTTATATTAGTAGACTTGGAGGATTAGACTTTTATGATAAATGTCAGTAAACATTGATTTCACCATACATGCACACAAACTGACAAAAAATATTTCCATCAACGATTATTGAAATTTTTAGATAGGCAAAGTAAGAAAAATACTGCTTGATAACTTAATAGAGTTTACTAAACTCTAGTTTAGTAACTTATTAGAGTTTACTTATTAAAGTTTATGAAATATATTTACTTTGTGTATATTTACATGATTTTCCACAATATGTGTTTTAACAATTATATAGCTTTAACTCTTTGGATCTCAACATCTACTGGCATTAAATAATTATTGTCTGACAACCCTTCCCCCCCAAAAAATGTACATAGATAAAAAAATGCATAAAACCCATAATTTGGAGTGACTGTGAAATAAACTGATAATCCCCAAAAAAAAATGCTTAAAAATAAACATCAATATTATCAAAGTTATAAAAAAAATTATATTCTGCCAGGCCTACATATTGGCTACCTTGATAGTTACTGAAAAGACATCATCTACCCACAATAGAGAAATAGTGTCATATCTCAGATACAACTGTGGATAAACGTTGACTTTTTAAGTAGAACCATGCTAGTTGTAAAAACTGTAGCTGCTGCTTTTGCCTACCTCTCAGAAATGTTGTGAAGATCAATTAATTTATATTTTCAAAGCACTTTACAAACATTACGCACTAAGTAGTAGCATTATGAGTAAACAAATCACATCAGGGAACTACTCCATGTAACATCAATCCTTTCATCACACATTTTACATGTATCAGTGATCATACATAATATATAAACTGGGGAGAATTCAAGATTTTTAATATAATGGATAATGGATGGATGGATAATATCTGTTTATTTTTAAGTTTTTTATTTTGATCAATTTAATTGTTCACAGTTGCACAAACTTATGGATTTTAAGCATTTATTTTTCTCAATTAAAATGTTCATGGTTGTGGGAAATTATGGGGGAGGGTCAGACAATTATTTAGTGACAAACATTAAGATTAAAAAAGTCAAAGCTTTATAACCATTAAAACACAAATTCTCAGCATCACCTATCAAAATATACAAAGTGAATTTCTTTAAATCAAACTCAAGTAACAATTTTCTTTCTTTGACGATCTGTAAATTTCAGTCATCATGGATGAAAATATTTTTTCTTTGGTTTGTATGTACAGTGAAATCAACATTTACTGATTAAAAAAATTGAATCCTTCCCAGCCTAATAATATATTAGAAGGAGAGGTGGCACTCTAGACAATAATCTATAGATTATGTACATACAATTAATACAACTGAAATAGAACCATATTCTAGATAACTCCTAAGATTCAAGGCCATCTTTTAACTAGATTTTAAAAAAAAATCAATAGCATCTGCGGTCTTTGTACGGGAAAGATCTAAAATAAATCAGTCGTTCAGTCTTAAAGACATCTTTAAGTAGTTCAGTACTAGATTCAGTCTGTATTTGAATTTGTAGCTGTCTTTGTTATTTGATATCAACTGTATTTTTCACAAATGCAAAGAAAGGAATGTTTTAAAGCTACATCATACAGTACTGAATTTTCAAATATTTTCACAAAGACAGTTTCTTACTGTAAGCTTCATTTCATTAGTTTTTGATTAGTATCAAAGATGGGACAAACTGATTTAATTTGGATTCACCTGTTACTGGGAATGGGATTTTGGACAGAGTTGTATTATAGGTAAAATACTTCCTTGTATGTGACCAAAAACAACGAGGAGTCCGGTGGCATGTTAAAGACTAACAGATTTATTTGGGCATAAGCTTTCATGGGTAAAAAACTTCTTCAGATGCATCTGGTATGTGAGATATGCATAAATCTTAGATACACACATCATATTTCACACAAAATGTTTTCTTGATCTAACCTTGATTTTGCCAAAAGTTTAATTTACTTAAAATAATAAAACTTTGATCCAATTCTTCAGTTGCTCACTATAGCCTCTACCACCATAAATAGTGATGCAAATAATATTAAGACTTTTTTGGGGGGGGGGGAAGCTTTTAAAGGCGTTTCTCACTTATGTTAATGTCATAGCTAACAAAACAGCTGATTTCTGCTCAAATGTATGGTATCACAATTCAGAGGTACCTAAAAAAACCTAGTGCTCTGTTAAAAAAAAAAAAAAAAATCAGAGTAGCTGTAAATAAACACAAACGCAAATCCATAGACACCTTGCAATCCTTCAGGGACTGTTTTGTAATAAATCCCAAATATTAAAACAACATTGATTGATCAATTTTTTATGTCTTGAATATTTAGGTTTATGGAGATAAAGATGCTGATGGATTCTACCGGGGAGAAACTTGCACAAGACTTGGCCTCATTCCATGTAATATGGTCTCTGAAATCCAAGCAGATGATGAAGAAATGATGGATCAGCTTCTGAAACAAGGGTTTCTTCCTCTGAATACACCTGTAGAAAAAATAGGTAGGGGAAAATATATGTACACAAAATAGCGATTTAGTGCTGTTAACTTGGCTGTTTGCGCTTTGGCTTTTTTGATGATATGGCACATGCATATAAATTTTACAGTAGTCTACTACACTATGGGATACGTTCTGTGTCAACATCTTGCTTGTGTTTTTTTTTTTAATTCAGACTATTTAAGCATTTTCACTATTGACAACACAAATGAGGACTTGCATTTCAGGACTGCACATATTAATACATTTTTTTAAAGACTGATTTTCTGAAAGATTTCTAGACACAGAACAAGATCCCTCTGCTTTTGGCATATGCAGTGCTGAGATGTTTGATAAATGTTATGCTCACTGCTGGAAAGCATAAAAAGAATCACTTGTTTGTTCTTTTTACTCTAACCTACTTTACCATAAATTTAAAGGGATGGTGGCAAAGGGTTATGCCTCACATTATTCAGGTTAACATTGCGTAGTCAAAAAGCTTAAAAGATATTGATATCACAAACCAACCTTTCCTGTTTTGAACCAGTAACCTTAAATCAGTGGTTCAATGTTGTACAGAGACATACTGTAGTTATATACAAATATATTTTGAGAGGGAAAGCACCAACAAATTTTAAATTTTTCAAAGGAGCAATAAAACAAAGACTGTAAACTACTAACATTGGTTCAATCTTGTTTAAAAGTGAACTGTAAACGTGGCTACATAAAAACAAAACAAAAAATCTCTCCAGAATTGTTTGCAAGATTACAAAATGAAAATAGTGTTTTACCATTGGGGGGTTTATTTTAAGTACTTTTCACAAAATAAAACAATTATAGGCTCTTTAAGATCCTCAGAATTCTCAGCTCAGTATTTCCCCATTTGTGTGCCGGAACAAATGGACTTAAGACGTAACAAACAAAGGGAGTGAAAGAACCATGGGTAAAACCTGAGTGCCTAGAGGTACCTAAGTAAAATTTTCAAAAGTGCCTAAGTGAATTAGGAATCATTGACTGGGGACATAGGCTCCTACATGCCTGGTTTTCACAAGTATTTAGGAAACTGAAGATGCAGCTAGGCATCTAGTAAGTTTTACAAAAGCACCTGAGTAGATTAGGCACTTAATTTCCTTGCAGTTCATGTGAGGTAGGTGCCTAACCCACTTGGGTACTTTTATAAATCTCACTAGGTGCCTGTTTGCATCTTTAGGCACCTAAATATATGTGAAAATCTGGCGCTAAGTCACTTTTGAATACAGAACTTAGGATCCTAAAGCCTGGTCTACACTAGGAAACTAGGCTGGTATAGCTACATCGCTCAGGGATATGTGACACTCACACCACTGAGCAATACAGTTAAAGCGACCTAACTCCTGGTGTAGACAGCGCCAAGTCGACAGGACAATTCTTGCGTCGACCTAGCTACCGCATATTGGGGAGGTGGAGTGCTGACACTGATGGGAGAAGTCCTGCTGTCTTCGCTGAAGCACTCAAGTGCTGCAGCTGCGCATTTTAAGTGTAGACAAGCCCTTAGTCTCTTAGGGTTTGTTTACACTGCAAAAAAAAAACCCAACCCAAATCAAAAATGTGGCAGTGAGTCTCGGAGCCTGGGTCCACTGACTTGAGCTCAGGCTAGGGGGCTAAAAAGAGCAGTGTAGATGTTCTCACTTGGCCTGCAGCCTGGGCTTTGAAACCCCGGTGCAGGAGGTGGATCTTAGAGCCAGCTTGAGTGGGAACATTTACACTGCTATTTTTAGCCCCATAGTGTGAGCCCCACAAGCCCGAGTCATTTGACGCAGGCTCTGAGACTTGCTGGATTTTTTTTTTTTTTGCTGTACAGACATACCCTTAGGCACTTCTGAAATCTTTTACCCCAAATCCATATTTAAAAACAATTATCTCAATGTGGCCTGATTTTCAAAAGTGCTGCGCACTCTCAGCTCCTGCCAAAGTCAGTGAGAGTTGTAGATGCTGAACATTTTGAAAATGAGATCATTTATTTAGGTGTCTAAATATAATTTTAGGAGCCTAACTTTAGTCCCGGCAGATTGTGGCCATTCTAAGGATCTGATCCTGGGAGCTATTTCTGCAAGCACCATTGGCTTCTTTGTTATGCGCTACTGGTGATGTCCCTCACTCTGGCAGAGCAATGAAGAAGTCTGCAGCTCAGATTTTTCCAGGAGGGGGAAAGCACTTGTATTAAAATGCCACTCTATCTGTAAGCATACTTTTCTTAATGTTCCGGAGTGGTCTAACTGCTAGTAACCTCCTCCCCCCCACTGCAGTTCACCTTTAAATATCTTGAGACTTTAAATGCAAATGGCTTTTCTCTTAAATCTGGATCAAGTTTTCTAGTCACACTTCAAAGGAAATGCACATAGAACCCTAGAGTTCAGAGAATATGGAGAGTTTGGCTTAATTTTGAATTAAATACAAACCAAGTGCCTGAATGTGCAAACAAATTCACATTTTCAGACCCCCTTCTGTCACACAGTCTGCCCATGTGGCACTGCTAGCAGGATCAGGCCCTAAATCTCCAGTCTGTTTTATGCTGTTATCACACATGCTTCAGTCTGAATGTCAAATCAAACACTTAATTAACATGCTGTGTTCAGCTATGACTAATTTTGCTTAATCCTTTGCCCACATTAAATCCTTAAAAATTAAGAACTTTGAACAGCTTCATATCTTTTCCTCTTCTTTTATTTGTATGCATTCCTTTCCTGAAGTCAACTGTGACCGTTTCAAAGAGAGCACACGCTCTGTACACCGCAGATCCAGAAAGTCAAAAAGAGGTCTGTGCTAAGAAACAATAACTTGATTCAAGCTGTAAATTAGCTGAATTGCTTTGAGCTGTCTAGATTTACTTTTTATGCCTTTGATCCTTTAGAAGCAGAGAGGCCCCTAGTACTGGAGAACAGGCCTTCCCTTGTCTTCGCAGAGTAGTATGTCAAAGGGACTCATTGCTTCTTCAAGGCAGTCACTATGAGTCGGTCCAAGCCACAGGGGAATTGGCTCCTAACTCTATAATAATCCAGCCCTTCACTTTGGACTTCTCCTTGCACTCTGTATAAATCCCTCCTTGCATCAGCAGCTAAGATTGCGTATGTTCCCAGTGACTGGGTGTGTGCTGCAATCTCCTCTGACTGAATGCTTCATTCCCAGCTAGTAGGTGTGAAAGCCAGAGTGCATGCTGCATACTTCCCCACTGACGACAGTCTTCCCCTACTACCTTACCCCACCCTAGAATGCTCCTAGCTCATTGGAGCAAGAGTCCTAAGGCTGCTCCTAACCAGTTTTCCTTTATCACACTTCATAATGCTCTTCTTTAGCTCATCAGAACTGCCCTCTACGCCTGTTGTAAGTAAAACTAACAAGCATGTTTCTCTTGCTGTGGCATCATCTGCAAGAATCATGCTGCTCTCATTCAGTTTTAAAATTAAGCCCATCACAGACTTCCCTGTAAATGTTTAATGTCAGTCAATAAACATTTCATCTAATTTCCTGAAGCTGTAAGTTTCACCTCTTTCCTTCTGTCGCCTGCTAAGGAAAGCTGTAAACTCATGGAATACTTGAAAGTGTGTTTCTGTAACCACAGGACTAATGGAAACATTCAGATTCATTAAAAAAATTGATAAATCACTTGTCTTGGATCAAGTGAGAACAGCTCTGTTTCTTGTCCCACTACCCTGCCAAGAAGGGGAAGAATAATACCAGGCACAAAATTCCTGTTGGCTTTAGCAGGAAAAAAATACCAGTGAGTAAAAGTGACAGTCTGCTTGAAGCGAAACAGGATAGAATCCTGAACATCTACTATCCAAAAGCCTGAGGAGTAGCACCTGATGATTCTTCTAACCAAAAAGATTAAAAAAGGCATAACAAATAGTAGCTTTCTATATATTGCTGAGATGATTTAGAAACAGTAGGATCAACCCAGCTGTTAAGAATTAAAGAGTTGTTTTGGACTCGATGTCCAGCTTGCATCAGGAATCCATGACTATGTTACTAGATTTGGTATCTCTCTTTGGTCACCTGTCCAGCTTGCTAGAGAAATAGTCTTGAGTTGATTACTACACTGTTGAGAAAATAACAAGAGGAAAAAAATGTGCACCATGCTGTTTTTGTTCTTCAAAATAACTTTGATAGCTTTCCTCCCCTTTCCCTCCTTATGGCTGGAACAGAAAGGAACAGAAGGAGTGGCAGACAGCATTCTGTGTCAACACGGAGGATGGTGGCACTATACGATTATGATCCAAGAGAAAGTTCTCCTAACGTTGATGTGGAGGTATTGATTTAAACAAAAACAATTTTTATGTTTGTCATTTATCTATCCATTAAAGTCGTGGGGTTGGTTTAAACACATGTTCATGAACATCTTTCAGTAGTCAGCTCATCTGAACACATTACATAGACTTGTTGATACAATAAAATCATGATTGTAATATATCACAGGCCTACCTGAAAATATGGTAATTTATTTTAAATTATGGGAATAAACATTTTTCCAAAGCAAAGAGGGAAAGCATATTTAATCCCAAATGCACCTAGCATCCTTCCTTAAGAGAGTATGATTGTCAGAAGTGTTGCAACTCACACCAACAAGCAGGTAGCCCGAAGCTCAAGAATTGATTTTGAAACATGGAGATGCAAAAAATCCCAAACACCTGCATTCAAAAAATATCAAATTTTCTCCCTTAGTGATCCACTGGGCTTCATGGAAATGTATGATGTCTAACACTCTATGTAATCTGTCTATATCATGCCCTTTTAATGGTATCTTAAGCAATTATGAACTGTTTCCCAAATCTTCATCGTGGTTCTCAACCTATTTGTGGACCACATATGCAGCTGTGTGTGTTATGTGGGCCGCATCCACACAATATATATACTACCTATATGGCCCTGAGGTTGTCACATGGGCCACAAGCGGCCTGCTAGCCATGGGTTGAGAACTTCTGCTCTAACCTCATACGTTTTCCATCAGCATCAAAGCAGGCAATGCAGCCAGTTTTGATGATGTCAGTTGGTGTGTGTCTGTCTCTTCTCTCCATCTGCTTCAATATATGGCCTGACTATGCTTGAGACCTTGGGTCTTGCACGAGGCCCACTCCACCAGGCTCTCTTTCTCTCCCCTGTATACCATACCTTCAATGTCATCTTGGAGCTCCTCCAGCAAACAGAATTTGAAGCATGCTTTTGAGAGCAGGCCACACTCATGAAGCTATGTGCCAAAGCAAAATACACCTACCAAGCTTGCAATCTCCCCATATTTGTTATTTAAAACACATCATAGCCTGTCTATAGAACTGTTTTCTACATACTGCACTTTGGAAGTGCTTGGTACCCTACTAATTCATATTATCTCCTTTAATCAGATTTAGTTCTCAAATAAACTCTGTAGCATTGTCTCTGTTATCGTAAAGTGGACAAAACTGTAAAGCTTTTAAATAAACAGGGCTCAGACTGTCCCCACAGTTCAGCATTCAGCTCTCCCTCCACTTCAGGAGCACTGTCCCCCATCTCCTCCTTCTGCCTCTCCAAAAAGGTTGCTGTTTGTGCCCAGGTCTGTGCAGGGGCAAAGTGGTCATGCAGTGTCTTCCATCCAACCCCACAGAGATTCCTAGAAGAGTGACCTCCCAGAGCATAGGGGGTTTCCGTAGTAGCACAGCTCCCATAGAGCTATGTTACCAGCATCCTGGGGCAGATTGTAGGAGGTCCTATCCCACCCCCAACTCCACAAGGAGATCCTTACTGTGATTTCCTCCCACAAGTCCCTTTCTTCCCACACAGATTAGGACAAGACGAGCCCAGGGATTTAAAGTTCACTGTTAGTCAAGAAAATGCCCAGTGTATGGTAATAAAACAAGCTTTCTGGTTTGTTCTGAAGAATATTTTGCTCTCTAATTCAACATGCAGATTCATTCAACTGTCTACTAATATGGTTGGAAAAAATTATGAACCTGATGTGCTATCAGTGTAGCAAATGTTAATGTTTGCACCGTAACACAATCTGATCAGTCACCTTCCTCTTTCCACAGGCTGAGCTTACCTTTTGTACAGGAGACATTATCACTGTCTTTGGTGAAATAGATGAAGATGGGTTTTACTATGTAAGTTTTCTTTTATTTGGTCTTTTAAACTACATCAAGCAGAGTGCCCAAGTGTCTCAAACAGTAACTGGAGACGTTGTTGGTAGAATGAGCTATTAAAATATAATCTGGGAGAATTTCATTCAGGTTATAATTTCATTTTGAATATTTATTATATCAGCAAATTTATTAAACATGCCACTTAGTGATGCTATACCTTAATTCTTAGGTACAAAGTGACACTGTAAATACTGCTGTTCCTGCATCTCAGATTTGTAGCTGTTTTCAAACATTTCTACAAGTTACAAGAACATTTGCCTAGTGACTTTAGCTGCAATAAGTATATTCTGAACTGCAAGCAAGAAGCACGGCAATGTGAATATATGCCCACATAGCTAATCAAATTGTAACTACTGCAGCTGACGTAACACTGTTCGAATCAAATGTTTCTAGCCACCCTTTTGCTGAGGGCTCGTGTCAGTAAAGGGACACAGATTAGAAGTACACTGAGATTGTTAATAAACACAGGTTACTTGCATGGGGTGAAATCCACTCCATCTACATAAAATCTGTGCACTAGGACTCTATGGGGGAAAAGTGCAGAGCAACTGGGGTGGTGAAATCCACCCCTCTGACCCATAGTTAGCAGCTGGAATAACAGTTGTCTGCTGAAATTAAAGCCACAGCCCCTCCCCAGCAGCTGCAAAGGGGGTTGCATCCCCTGGATCCATGTAAACAAGAACACAGCACCTTTTCTCCATCTCTCTCTATCCTATATTGCATAGGAGGGACAGGAAATGTGCAAACACGCCTAAGAGGGTGCTTCATCCATTTTCCCTTGTGCATCTGCTATCTAGGGCAGAAATGGTATAGAGGGCCTTGCACTGCCTCTCCACCCCCAGTATAAATTTCATCCCATGCCAAGTTAGCACATTAATACCAGTAAGTGCTTAGCTCTTGTTAGGAGCTATAAAATGCTAAGAACATAAGAAAGGCCCTACCGGGTCAGACCAAAGGTCCACCTAGCCCAGTAT